CCCCGCCTCCCCGGCCGGAAAACTTTCCAGAGTTGCGTGAATCCTCACACACACACACACACACCCCACCGCAGGGCCGGGAGCTGCGACCCGCCTCAGCGTGCGGCTGGTGGGGGCGCGGGGTGGTTTTGGGGTGAAACCCTCCACGTTGGTCCCTGGCCGCCTGCGGGATGCGGTTCTCACCGCTGGTATCCCCCCGGCCGAGTTATCCACAGGCCCCGAACCCTGTGTTCCAGGCAAAGACGGGGCCAGGCTGCCGTGCTTTCCCGGCTCACCTGGCAGAATCTTGCAGTAAACTTTCTAAACCAGCAGCCCGAGCGTCCCTGCATCTGACGTCATGTTTTGGTAGTGTTTCTTTTTTTTTTTTTTTTTTCCTTCTCTCTCAAACCCCTAGACGCTGGTGCGTTGCTTTTTATTCTTGTATTTCTGGGTGTTACTTACAAAAACTTTACAAATCTTTCTAGTACAAAGTATTTGACAACCAAATTAAAGGTCGCTTTATTTCAAAGAGAGAAAGTCCCATCTCTGTTTATAAATCAGCAAAAAAGCTGAAAGTATACTTTTTTTCTTAACTTGAGCTGAAGAAGTTGAAACTCTTTCTGAAAGTTGAGAGAAGTCAAAAGTTACCATTTAAATAGTAACGGTATTCCATTATGTCATTTTGTATTGCCACTAGCTGGTCTAATATGTAGCATTTAGTCAAAATTTGGTTGTTGGGACTGTCAGAGGCTCATGAATTTTGAGCTTCCTGCTTTGATAGTTTGAGATTACACCAGTGACTTTGTGCTGATGCGGTTTATTTAGAAGAAGATAGAGATACTTTAATAAAACAGCAAAAGGCTTTAGAGTGTACTGATACCAAAAGAGTGCGCTTGAACTTGAAGTGCTACAGGTTTAGCATAGTTTTAAGCAGATAGAAGTGTTATTAAGTTATTGACCCTGTAACTTTAAGTTATACATAACAGAATTCAGAGCTCACTCGGAGATTTTTAAATATCAACCCTGAGGGCTAAGAACCCGTGAACTTTTGAAAGTCTGTTAAGTCATACATCAAAGAGATGAGTCGCCTTGCATCAGCTGCAGGTAACTGCTGGCAGGTGTGCTCACCTCTGTGCTGTGAGATGAGCTCAGCGAGCTGCCAGCAGTGGCAGGTGGACCCTTTTCCTCACAGACTTCAGACAGCTGCAGTGCACTGGAGGTACTGCTCTGAACTGACTTGTTTTGTGTGACAGAGGTCTCTGGAGTCAGTGATGTCAAACCATTTCTTTATCGTTTTTGGTTAGCTGGAGCAAAAGTTCCCACCTTCCACCTTTTTTCAGGCCAACAATGTACCATTACCTTATTTTAAACTAAAAAAAATAAAAAAAGTCTGAGCCATGCTTGTGAGTTTCTTGGTGTTGTGGAGTCCTTCAGGATGAATGAAAGCTCTCGATGACAGTGTGCTCTGCTGAACTGGCTCCATAGTGCTTTATGCTTTTGATTTTAGCCTGAAGTTGGCCTGTGGCCCACTCTGTGTAGTCTGAGATCTAGGAATTCCTCTTGGGCCCTGTTCTCGGATGTTTTTGTGAACCTGGGCTCATCATCTAATGGTGCCTGCTAGTTTTGTACAGCATTTGCATTGTTTTTGCTGAACCTTTTACTCTTTCTGTATACACCTTTTGGGGTACAGTGAGCAGAAAAGCTGTGTTCCAGATGAGGGCATTTGAATAATTTGTATAATACCCTTATAACACTGGTATTTCCTGTCCGTTCTGTTGTACAGCACTAGATCCAGACGTTAGGGAGCTGGATGCAGAAATATTTGCTGAAGTGCTTTGGGTGGCAAAGAAGGTCAAACTAGATCGGAAGTGGTTCCTCCTGACCTTACCTTTATATGACTCTGATTACTTCTGTTCCCAGAACATACCTGTAGGGATGCCTGGTTCAGCCCTGTGCTGTTAGATTAGTATCCTGCCAGATGGTTGCATAGGTTGTACTGTTCCTTTCTATGCATGTGACTTTGTATCTGTGACCACTGAACTCAGCCTGCTTTCTTGCTTCTTCCTCCACGTTTGTTTGCACTAAAATAACTTCGTGGTATTTGTAAGCTTTGCCACATTATTGTTAAACGGTTATTTAAGCAGTGTTGCTCCATATGGAGAATACTTGAGTGCTTTGGGGGGAAAAAATGCTTATTTGTCTATATCTTGTGTTTTAATGAACTTCTAATCAATAACGCAACTTTATACCTTGCTCTGTGAGAATGGTTTCCTTATCACCGTTAGTTTACATTGACAGAAGTTATGTAGGACTTGTCCAAGGATACCTGGCTATTTGTTTCATATTCTTATTGACACATTGAAGAAACTTAGGATATAGGTTTTTCTTTGACAGATAGGCTGCATCTTCCATATCCTTTGTTTTTATTATGTTTTAAGTCTACTTTTCAGTGTTGTTGTAAACAGTTTATCTTGCTGTCTGTCAAGTTTGTTACCAGCTGAGTTCCAGTATCACTTCTAGAAACTCCTCCCATAAAATGCAGTCTCACAGTGTTTGCTCTTCTCCCACGTAGTCCTTGACTCAAATCTCAGCTTCCCAGGCTTTGGGCAGATCTCCTTGATATGTTCCATCCTGTTGTGTTCACTTGGGAAAGCACAACAAGAGCTAAATAAAGAGAAGGTAGAGAGGGAGATGTCTTCTGTGAGCTGCTGTTGGCCTGGCTGCAACAGGATTAGGTCCTGATAGTTACGTGGTTCACAGGTACCTGGCAGTCCAGAATTTTAATTCTGTAAGTCAAACCTTTTACTTAAATTGAACTGTAAGTAAGGTGAATGTGTTTGCAAGCTCTGGAGCAGGAGGCTAATGTTCTGTCTGTTAGAGTCTCAGTTGAGTGTTTGTGTCTGAACTTCCCCATCAGCCTCAGTGAGTTAATCCTGCACCTCTCACCTGTGCTAAACTCACTTTGCAGAGGTTGTGTCCTTGTGAACCCAGGAGTATGAGGTGCTGATTCCTGACGAACCCATGTGATAAAGAAGGGATTTCTTTCATTCGTCTTATTTCCAGTGTTGCCAAACTGGAAACTTTAAGCCACCCTGTAAATTGATGCTTATGGAGTTTAGCGGTGCAGAGCAGGTTAGGTAGTCATTCAAAATTAGAGGCACAAAGCTATGGGTTAGTGCATCAGAACATGGATTCAGCAGGTTAAGTAGGTGCCAGCCTTGGAGAATAGTGTCAGATTGCTGAAAATCAGCTGTGTAGAAGTTTGGCCATGTAAATGTGAAAGCCCCACTGAGACCCTTCTGCGAATTTGGCCCTTAATGTTCTCTCCCTGGCAGATGAGCAGCAAATTGTACATAAGGTCTGAAACAGATTCATTCTTTACCATCTGTTTTCTTGCTTTAGCTTGTTCTTGAGATGGCTTTTTGTGCTCTGCCGTTGCTGCCTTTGTTCCCTTGGATCCTGCTCTTGGATAAGTTGATCAGCCACAGAAGCTTTTTGTGATAGGTCTTACAAAGTATAACCACTCCTCAGTCTCCTCTTGTAGATTTGCAGAGAGCGGGAGCTAATTCTTGTGCTTGAATATTTTTGATTCAAATTGAGGGGTATTTGTAAAGTTGGCATTCTCAGTAGAGTTGTAAAATAGGTCCTTATAAAGCTCCTTTTGCACCTGCCCGAGAAGCTGATCACTGTATTGGTGGTGACCATAAGCCTGCTTTGCTGGGCAGACCTCCGTGGAGGTGGTCACCATGCAGTTTGTTGTTGAACCACCACCAGCATGTTGTGTGCTTTTGGAGCTGATGGGTGGGGGAGGAATAAAGCTAGAATGATTTTCACTGGAAAGGAGACAAAAATGTTTCCACTTAATTTGATTGGCCTGCCATTGCAGGAGCTGCTAATGATGTCTGCATGGGACTCAGGGGACCACTCAAACTGGTGGAGGGAATCATAAGAGATATGGCTAGTAACTTAATCATCTCCTTTGATGCTGTGGTAGAGGTTTGTATAGTGGCCACTGCTAGATGCTATGTAAGAGCACTTCTGAGGTAATTAGTGCCTTGTCCTGAAGGTGAATTTTTGCTTGGGGAGGGGAGTACCAGTGAAAACTAAAACCCATTAGCTTTTCTCTCAGGAAGTTTTGCTGGGCTAGAGAATAACATGATCTTTAGGCATTAACGAGGTTTAGCCTTGATGGGGAGAGCCTGTTGTGAGAAAAATGTCCTTAGTCTTTCCTGCCCGTAAGGCAGCGGTGTCTGTGGATGGGGGTGGGCTGGCTCCTTTGGTTAGTGGTTGGACTTGATGATCTTAAAGGTCTCTTCCAACCAAAACGATTACATGATTCTTCTGCCTGCACCCATGGGAAGGCAGGGGTCAGTGTACCCTCAGCAGTAGAGGCTTTGTCAAGTGCAGTTTGGCTCCTCCTCTATTGCAAACAGCTTCTTACCTTACATAGTCCTAAAAGGCCTCGTATTCAGAAAGGGGAGAGCAGCTCCCTTAGCCAGCACAGCTCCTAAATTAAGTCAGAGACCGTAACTGAGCCCCCAGCCCTTGCAGAAGGTCCCAGTTCTTGCTCACCTCCATGTGCTACTTTCTCTCATTCATACACCCTGAAGACTTTAAACTCCCTGGGTGCCCGACGGTTTAGTGTAACCTGACGGAGAACAAGCACATGCAGCAGGAACGGTGTGTAGGGTAATGTATGTCTGTTAAAAGTGAAGCCTCAGAGGTGCTGAAAGCCCTCAGATGGCCTAATAATAATTATTAATGCTAATAAAAATTAGTGAACTCCTCACCTCCTGGCAGAAGGCTGGAATAATAACTGCGGGGTCTTTGTTCAGTCAGAGATAAGAGTGGGTCAGCCTTGTACAAAAACCTCCTTCCCTGAGCTCCATCCTCTTCTTGCGTCCAGTCCTCCGCTGGCTGTGTTTTTATGCTCCTGAATTACAAGAGGGAATGGAGAGGGAATGGCTTTTTTTTTTCCCCTTTTCTCCCCTCTCCCATGCTCCTGTGACAGGAGCGAGGGGGAGAGGGATTAGTGAGCTAATTAGAAATGATCGCATCTATCAACACTAATTAGCAATCCCGTGGTCTCACTTGCGTGTTCTTTTGAGCTGCTCCCCTTCGGGACAGCGCCACAATCACCCCCTGCCTTTGGGGCCGCTCCGTCCCTTCTGCGCTGATTGGAAGTGATAGCCGGGCTGCGTGTCCTGTCGGGTAGGGACAACGCCGCTCGGGACGTGCTTTCCAGGCTGCAGCATTCCCTTTCGGTGCCTGCTGTCACCAGGGGCACCCTGGGCCTCCGTGGGCACGACGCTGCCGCTGCTAATGACCACAGAATGAAAATGGCAGGGGGATTTGTTTTCGACACCTCTTTCTTCCAGTGGCTTTTTCACTTGTGGCACTTGAACTTAAAGGGCTGCTTCTCGGCGGAGCTAAATGAGGCAAGAGAGGGGCTGTTGGCTGAGTCCTTTGTGGAGCTGGAGCAGAGCGAGGTTCCCAGCTCTGCACTAACACTTCAACAGGTGCTTGTTCTGGCAAAACGGTCTCAGAGAACTTATCAGTGCAAGACCAAAAACAAGTTGTCTTTCTTTTATCACTGTTACAGTGCAGAGGCTGGAGGATGGTGATATAAAAGTTAAAAATCCTAATGAACTTGCCAGGCAGACCGACTTAGCTGAATTGATTTGCCATGGGGAGTTCTACCAGAATAATTAAACTGCTCCTTCCCTACGTTTCTCTGTTTAAAAACAGCATGAGGTGAGAGAAAGATGTGTCTGCGGTCAGGATGGAGGAGGCTTTGTTTCTCTGTTTTTCTCTGGTTGGATAGATGTTTGCTGGAGAGCACTCAAGTCCTGTCTGATTCCAGCCTCCTCCCCTGTTTTGTGCAGTGAGGCAAGGAAAGACCATTCTAAACTTAGGCGAAAGAGCTGTACTGGAGGATATAGGTATTCACTAAACCAGAACTTCACAAGTCTCTTGTGCACTGAAGTACAAACCAGAAGGAGCATGGCTTAACTGACTGTTTCTGGTAACAGGGCTGGATGATGTTGAAGGAAGGATAGTGGTTTAGGGTTCAGGAAGGGGAAAAAACACAGAAAACTTGTAGGGGGTCATTGTTTTATTTAAAAGTGGAACATAATTCGTTTGGACACAAATTAGTGGTAACACTTCATAATGTTTGCTTCTGCATTGACTGGAAGTCAAGTGGTTTACCTTCTGGAGTAGAAGCTGACACTATAGATAAAATAACAGATTTAAGCAGACAAAATAAAAGGAGAACTCTTAAAATTCCCCACTAGGAGTACTGAAATACCTGAAGCGTGTGGAGAAGCAGGTGGGCTGTGGAGCTGTCAGTGTGGTGTAACCTACACAAGTGAGGGTTGTGGAGCTTCAGCAGTGAAGTTTAGATGACTGATGAAAGTGGTGTGCATTTGCTTGACAGTCTGTTTCTCAAAGTGCCAGGTCTCAAAAACACTTTCATTATTGTCTGAAGTTGCTGTCTCTTATTCTACAAATGTCACATTTGCAGGAACCTTTTCATGATGCCGGGAGAGAAGATTTGTTTTGGAGGGAGTTTTCCTACAAATCTTTTTCGTGCAGTGAGGAAAAGCAATCCCCAGGGAATAATTTGAAGCCTTATTAATCCTGGAGCATCACAGAGTGTAGGGGATGGTGAATATTCCTGATTCTGGATCATGGGAAAGTATACCCTAACCCAGAAAGTCCTGAGTCCGGGGAAGGCAACAAGAAAGCCCTGAAAGAGTCCTTTCAGGTCTGTGTTGGTGTGTTCAGATGAAACTTTAGTGCATCCACATCACCAACTGAGTTATAAACTGATGCACTTTAGAAAGCAATGGACAGAAACTTTCTTGTACCCTGGTCCTCCTCTTCCTGGCATTTCAGCAGCTTTCTCTGACTCGTTGGCTGCAGGGAGTTGTTGATCCCACAGTATTCGGGTATGAAAGCATTCAGAACATGCCACAGTGCTCGCCATGTCAGTAACGATTTCTGGCTAACACAGCTTTTTGGTGGTGTCATCTCTAATTATCACATGGGCTTTCCTTGGGCTTTTCCTTGTCTCTCATTCAGAATTTTGACCTTCCTTATTAATTAAACAGCGACTTTCCTGCAGCCAGTGATTGAGTTATTCAGTAATACCTGCCTAAAGCCATTGTAATAAAGGACAGAAGTTCTTTTTAATGCAAATGATTTGGTGCCAGATGTTTTGATCACATTAAACCATGGCTCAAATTAACCAGAGATTGGATTAAGCAACAGGCTACCTTGGCTGTTTTTCCTAATCATTGTAATTCCTAACATATTTGTTTCCCAGAGCGTGCCCTCAAGAAGGCACTGTAGCCCCAGTTTTCCTCTACGTGAAAATAGCGAAATAAAAATTACAGAGAGGGCCAGGAGCTATCTAACATAGGTGCTGCATTCTTCATGGCAAAGATCTTTGCCCTCCGTAAATGTTACCTGCTACTAAGATGCTGCTCTGACTTGTTTGTGGTGGTCTGTGAAAGAATTATTCAGGGTGTACAGGAGACTCTGTGGTCCTGGAGATGACTGTTAATATACCTTATACAAGGCTTTTTGGGTGCTCCATCATCCTTCTATGGTCTAAGCAAGTTCCTGCGTAGGGAATAGATGTGTTAGTGGATGGCACTAGAAGGACTTAGAAGGCAAAATCCAGAACAGGGCTCAGTGGCTTGATCACTCAACTTTGAAAACCATTTCTGGCTTCCAAGAGAAAGTGTTTAACCATTTGAATAACTTACCTGGGGATGTGCAGCAGATATTCCCTCTCCTAGTTATGTGTGTGGCTGCCTTTATAAAATCAGACTGTACTCAGCCACAGGTTACAATTTTAATCTGGGAAGTGCTAAGTAACAGTCTCCGTACTGTTTACAGAGATCAGAATAGGGAGTTGCAACGGGGCTTTCCAGTGTGAAATCTTACCATTTCTGCCAAGGGTCTATGACTTGGAGCTGAGCAAATAGAGAGAAGAGTGGAGCTACGAACTTGACATGTCTTCCTTTTTTTCTTTCCCTGGTTTTTCTATGCAGCTCGGATTGGAAAAATGAAACGGAGGAAGCAAGACGAAGGGCAGGTATGTCCCCTCTGCAGCCGACCTCTGTCAGGATCCGAGGAGGAGATGAGTAGGCATGTGGAACAATGCCTTGCAAAGGTAGAGGCGCAGCAGGATCGCCAGCTGCCATTCCCTTCTCCCTACTCCCAGCTTTGTCTGCAGTTGACCTAACACGGGGGAAAAACTAACATTGCTGAGCTTGCAGGCAATGCTAACTGTGTCTCCCTAAGATCTGTAGTCACTTCTCCTTTTCTTGGAAGATGGATTCTTCTGGATTTTTCTCTTATGTTGCATTAGTAACTTTTTTACTTCATGCACCCTTTTGCTGTTACTGAAGTCTAAGTTGTAGACTGTAAAGGTAGAGCTATTGAAGTTTATGAAGCCTTTTATAGGACTTCATGCTTGCTGTGCTACACAGGAAGAGGAGTTCTTTCGGATATCTGCCTTTGACAACATTAGAATTATATTTTTTTTTGTTGGGATCTTTTGTAACAGACTGACATTTGTAAACGTTGCATGACCATCTTACTCCAGGAAGTGCATTTGAGCAGAACAGTTGTCTGGCTGTTCATCCCAAAGACAGCAAGGAAGAAGAAAGAACAAGCCTTAGGGGAGGGAGAGAGTTGTGTCATAGGGCTTTCTGTGCTTGCTCAGGAAAAGCCCACAATAGAGATGATAACAAATTCCTTCTTGTTGCCTCAAGAGGTGCATGGGGTAAAGAGAGGTGTCTTTTGATCAGTGTGCCCAAAAAATATGGTCTAGGAGAACATTCCCGTTGAGGGTCAAAAGAATCTGTGATTTACATGATAGGGGAATTGTGCATGCAATAGAGGAATGCATGTTAAAACGCACACCAGCTTTGTTGTAGAAACCAGAGCTTAAATTTCTTGTGTAAAAATGATGAACTTTGCAACTTGTTTTGATCTTAAGGTTGTCAGGTTCTGCCAGCACCCATTTACTTCTAGATTTAGATCACTGGGAATGGGGGCGGGAGTAGCTGCTACTGTCTGCTCTATACTTAGCTGCCCTGGGAACAGTCCAGTTTATCTTCTCCATCCCACCCTGAGTTATTAACCCCCGAGAGTTATTTCATGCATCTCAACACTCTGCCCCTGCTTTACCCCGTGCAGAGAGAAGGCTCGTGCATGACTGAGGATGACTCTGTGGACATCGAGAACGAGAACGGCAACCGCTTTGAAGAGTATGAATGGTGCGGACAGAAGAGGATACGGGCTACTACCCTCCTGGAGGGAGGATTTCGAGGTGCGCTGGTGTTTTGGGGGCTACTGTAAATCATTCTGCTGTGGAAGTTGATCGTTGTCTGTCTTGCAAGGGAGGGATCTAGAGATTTGCCTTTCACAAAGGGCAGGGCCTTCTGCCTTTGCTGGAAAGTGAAGTGATTTCAGCTTTCTGCCTCTTGAATGATGAGAGTCAAAATTTGTGCAAATCTTGAACAAAAGCGTCACGTTATTTCTTGTTCAAGATGTGGCTGAAGAGGGAATGAGTAGGAATGGGTAGAATGGGGAGATCATTTGGGGAAAATAGCTTTTTATATGTTGCACATAGTAAGAAATACGTGGAAATATGTGAAGAGAAGGAAATAGAAATGAAATTGTAAAAATTCCCAGCCTGGAGTGACGAAAGCTGGTGTATCAGCCTCTGGTGATGTATTGAAGGTGACAGCTAAGTCGCTTTAGCACCTGCATAAAATATTAAAGGGCCGGTTGTGCATTTATCACTCCATCCCTTTTAAGGTTGATAAATGAGAATCCAGGAACCTGCTCTGCCCCTCCAGCACTGCAAGCCCTTAGGGCTCTCAGACAAACACATTTTATTTTTCCTTCTTTTGCTCCTTCCCTAGTGACGGGGAAATCAGTTACTGAGGAGAGAGTGAGTTATGGCAAAATTTGACCTCTTGTGAGCTTTATTGGTGAATGTAATTTTAGCTAGAAACCTGGCCCCTTTCTTACACTCAGCCCTTTGGCCTCGAAGAGGAGGATTTACTAAACTGTTCGTTGGCATGAACCTCTAGCACTGAGGAGAGTCTCTCGCAAGCAATCCACGTAGCGCATGCCTAATGAGAGGAGGAATGCTGGCTCCCTCCGTTCAATAAAGAGGATGGGATGTGATCTCTTCCTATATCAGCTTGGATTTTAATTTAAAATATCTCAAGGGGAAAGGCTACTATGTAAGGGAGTTGAACTTAAAAGCCAGCCGTATGCTCGCTTGACAGCCTGGTACCCCTGATCTGCTCTTACCTTCTGCTGAAATTAAATTGTAGCTGGTTGTAGCAGAGCAGATGATCAGGAGCACAGAGGTGAAGGAGCAGCTTCTGAGGGGTTTTAAAGGCTACCCAGTAAAGCTCACACTGTCGCTTCCTCTGTCTGTAGCCTTATCTATCTTAACTTTTTTTTGTGCCCACAGGGAGAGTTGAGTCTGTACGTGATCCCAGGTAGAGTTCTGATGAGACCATGCAGGGCCTTAGACTACATTTACGTAGCGTAGTTGCTACTGTCCATAGTAGGGAAGCATGGGATGTCAGTGTACCTCTATAGTCACTGCTGGGCCTGATTAGAAAAAGCTACTCAGTTCATTTCTGCCCTTTTCTGGGCGTGTGTAGTTTCTTCCTTCACCCCCATCAAACACCTGAGTTTGAGGAGGGCACAGTCTTCTGCTTCCTTTGGTGTGGACATTGTGCTGTCTTCATCTGGTTAACGTTCCTGGCTGGTTTTGAGTTAACTCACTGAGTGTGATCTGAACCTTGCATATTGCTTCAGTCATGTGGAGACCCTCTTTTTAATGAGCCTGCAGGTGGACAAAATGTGTGTAATTGATGTGATTAGGGTGTGTAAATGCAAAATACTTGCTCCTTGTTGCAGTAGTGGGGCCTACTCTGTGCACTCTCAGGTAACCTTAAGGTGACTGTCTTTTTCCTTTCTCTGCCAGTGTTGGCTCTTGCCTTGTTTTAGGGACAGAATTCTTAATTTACAGCCCTGAAGCATGGCACAATGTTTTGGAGATGCTTTCCAATGCTTAAAACTGCTTTGTCTGGAGTTGGCAAGGCCCTCGTTAACCCCCGTCACCCGAGGCTTTGTGTTTGGCTCCGTTCCCTTTGCTAAGAAGTAGCAGCGATGTGGAAATCGAAGGCCTTTTATAATGCCAGACAGCCTTTGCCAGGCTACAGGCATGTCACCAGTGTCTAAAGAGATGACATGGGGAAATACATAAAACCGGAGGGGAAAATAGACATCCATGTGTCTCATTAATTTCGGTTTTAATGGTGTGTTGCTTTGAGGAGATGTCAGAGCTGGGCAAAGGGGGAGCGGGACACGGTGGCGAGCGTGTGTTGGATGGGTCAGTCTGACCACTGGGCAGCATTACAGAAGTGACTCAAACTTAAAACAGGTCCTGGCTTCTCCTTTTTATCATTTTTGGTTAATGGACAAAGTTCATATCACACTAAAGGTGAGGAAAACTCCTTGCTAATTATATGAAAGATCCTGCTAGGTTCTCAGGTGGGGGAACATTGGGAGATCTTGGGATTATTCTTCTTGAAAACAGAAAGGTCAGGGAAATGAACAGCCCTGCTCAGGTTTTCTGGAAGGTAGGAGCAATCAAAGGCTGAGACTCTTATATGGTTCCTAGGATGAAGCTTTCTTGCTTCCAAAGCTCTTGCAGGCAAGACTTGCTCCTCTCACTTTTGAGGCTGTCTTAGAAGGTGGAAATTCTCTTCTGTGTTGGTGTTGCAGCTGAAAATCCCCATTTGGGTTCAGTGTAGCAGAGCCAAAGCACACCTTCCTGCTTGCCATGGCTTGGCGTACTTGAGGTAGCAGGTGGAAAGAACAGGAGATGGCAGCAAGTAGGAACATGATGTAACTGAGAAGTGCTGGGACCAGAATGTTGTCTCTTAAGCTGTTGGGTTTGGTGAACGCATTCAGGCCAGGAATTATTTTGTGCTTCTAGCTTTCCTCCTGGCTGCTTACAGCTTCATTTTCTATCACTTAATTTGCTTACCCAAAACTGGAAGAATGCAGGGTATAAGTGAAGATTATTGCCAATTATATAGGATTTGAAATGGCTGTGTTTCAGCAGAGGTCCTGTTTGAAGTAGGGATTTGTAGCAGGAGAGTTCTTGCTTCTGTTTGGGATGGGTGCAGAAGGTTACCGACGTGAAATACCAAGAGCTATTTAAATCAAGCTTGTGCTTCAAAGTGAAAAGCTATACAGATGTAATAATCAAATATTTCCCTATCTCTGAACAGTGTCACAAGACTCAAATTTCTCTTGAAATGCCTGAACATTCAGTAATCATCTATGCCCACGTCTCTGGATCATCCCTCTCTGGAGCTCTTTGTTGCAGGGGATTATTTCATGCCATCTTTGTCTAATGACTTTCTGTGTTTAGGAAGCCAACGAGGCTTCACAAGTGAAAGCATCAAGTGGCTCTCTCTGATGGCCTTTTTTTTTTTTTTTCCTTTTTTTTAACACTCAACATATTTGTAGCAGTTCTTCTGTTCCCTCTCCAGGATGGATGCACGTTACCCTCAGTGTTTACACTGTAAGGTTATCCCTTTAAAGAATTCCTGAGGGAAGTTCAAAAGGGTTTTTTTTTTTTCCCTTTGAAAGATTCAGTGTCTCTTTTTGTGTGTGTGTGTCTCTTGCTTGAAAGAAGGGAAAGGGAGGGGGGGAGTGGAGAAGAGGGAAAAAAAAAGTGCTTTATCTGAAAAGAATCGCATCAGCTTCGCACTGATAGAAGCCGCTGTCATCTCTTAAACGGCTTAGCACAGTCAAAAGGCAAGAGGACTTAAAACAGTGTCTTACACAGGGATCGATGGGTGGAACACATAACTCAGTAACTGCAAAAAAAAAAAGCAGCACGGGGAGGCGGGGGGAGAGATAACGGTAATGATTGCATTGAGGGAAGCTTGAGGGAGGCTTGTTCTTTGTAACACAGCTTCAAAGGTGTCTGGACCGGTGCCTGGGCAAACTGTCCTCTGAAGTCTATGCCTCTGTAGGTCTAGGGAACACAGGGCTGGGGGGGAGCTGTTCGCATCCTTCTGTTTCTTAGCAGATGGGACAAAGATTAATAAATGCCAGGTTAGCGGCTCCCTTCTGCTGCTTTGGGTTTGAGGAGAGGATTTTGTCACTCGGTCTCTGGCCATCCTTTGCGAGAGGGCAGCTCGTCCAGGCGAGGGGAAGGAGGCGAGCGTGGGACGGGGCGGCTGGGGAGATTGGGGTTTGGGGGGGGACAGACGGACGGACAGACAGACGGACGGGATGTCAGTTTATCGATCGCACCTCAGTCAGGAGAGCTGCAGGCGCAGCGCTCTGAGCACGAGCGGCAGCGTGCTTAATGTGATTGAAAGGCAGTTAAAATGGCGGTGACCTTTTCAGGGGGAATTAGATTGCCTGCCAAGAGTGGTTAGAGGGAGTGATAACGCCAGCTTGAGGAAGCTGTCCAGTCTGCTTCAAAGGGAGAGAGACAGAGACAGGGAGAGCAAGCGAGCAGCAAGTACCATTTAAAGCATGAGCCACGCGGTCTGATAGAACAGAGATTGCTGTCCTCTTTAGATATGGAAGAATTGAAGAATTGTAGCTAAGTTCTCTCCACCCGCCCCGTCCTCCTCTTCTCCCCTCCAGTTCCCCCACCAAAAAGCCTTCCTCCAGGCACAGTAGCAGGCTCGTCACCGCTGCTCTTCTGGGTTTCTTTGCCTTCAGCACATCAGTTGCATCAAAAAATAACACAGAAGAGAAAAAGACTTTGAAAATGTTAAGATGGTAAGCAGGGCATTTTCAGGGAAGGATGCTTTCTAAGAAAGATCAACATGACAAGGATCTGTCTGATAGATTGTGATACTTTTGAAGAAGGAGAAACAAACAGGGATTACTTCACTCTGAATTTTCTCTTTATTTCTCCATGCTGCCCTCCTCCCAGGCGAGCAAGGGGCTTGTATCTATTTGCTAATGTCTTATCAAGGGAAAAGAACAGCACAACTTAGCATATGCATAAGAGGGGCTTGGTAAAGCCTTATAAACTGTAACAAACTACAGTTATCCTTGGGTGCCCATTTGCATTGCATCTCACGTCATACACAATTAGGGCAGCTGCCTGGAAAGTGGGACTATATTAAAATGTCTGAAAGTTTCCAGCTGATGGCTGCAGTCCCGCTGTCGGCTTTCTGTCTCTGCAGAATCAAGATGTGCTTCAGTCTGAGCAGCGAATGTTGAAGGCCAGCCTTCCTCCAGCAGGGGTTCGTTGTCCAA